AAGACCTTCAAAGTTCAACATCATCACAACCTCAGTCCAGCCCTACTCCCCATCCTTGTCTTTAACCCAAGAAAAAGACATTACGAGATCCGATTCCAGATCTCCTACAGTCAAAACAATGTCTTCTAACTCTTCAGCATTACAAGCCCAGAGAATACCAAGTTTCCACCAGGAATCTCCAGAAATAAGGAAAGTGTGGCATCTGAGCTGCCCGTGGTCACCAGTCTCCACTTTTGTGGCTTCTAAAGGCTTCCACCAGTCTCCTAAATTCCCTGAATATTATTTTTTGTTGTCCAAAAAGCTCCCAAAACACATGGAAACACAGCCGGCCCACCCACAGATTGTCTCAGACCCCCACTGCCCCCAAATACCTCAAGTTTTCAGCACAGTCACTTTTAAAATGGTGTCTGCAAGTGTGCATGTTCAGAGGGAAAAGATGTATTTGGCCTTGGTGTGTGAGGGTTTGGCTCATGGTGGGATTGGCTTCCAGTTCTCTCATAGCTGCACATTTCTATGATGAAAGAAATACTTCTTTATAGAACACTCAGTTAAAATGAGAGATTTACTTCTAGAAGACATAGAGATGGACAACAGCTTGCAGCTCATGCACACCACAGAAAAAAAGCAGCTTGTCACCACTTTAACAATCATGGCTCTGTCCCGTGAAATCCTGCAATTTTTTGTTTGGTGAGGTATTCAGCCTGGTCTGTGAAAGAGCTCTGGTGCTTTACCAAACTATAAATTCCAGGATTCTGTAGCATAAAGTCATGACAGTTAAAATGATGTTAAAGTGCTTTATTTCTTTATACATTTATTTCTGCAGTGTAGATACATCCTCGGATGGGATTAAAAGGAAATGATGGGTATATATTTCCTCCAAAACCACAAGTATATGCCTCAGTATATCAGTATGGGGGAACATACACAGGAAGGTGCTGCAGCCTTTATTTCCTATTTGTGAACTTTTCCAAGACATCTGATTGTTCACTCTGAGTGAAAGCTATACTAAATAGGCCTTTGGTTTGATCTAACATGGCTTTTCTTCTATTCTTATTTTAAGACATGCATTAAAGTGCATTGCAAAACTGGGGATGGTGAAGCGGATGCAAGCTGCAGGTAAAACACATACATAAAAAGACATCAAGTCCTAGTTTGTGCATCTGCCTGTACAGTAATCAATAGTACCATATCTGATCATTTCAGGCCTTGTGAGTCTTGTTGTTGTTGTGTGCCTTCAAGTCATTTCTGACATAGCAACCCTAAGGCAAACCTATCACAGAGTTTTCTTGGTAGAATTCATTCAGAGGGTGTTTGCCCTTTCCTTCCTCTAAGGTTAAGAGAGTATGACTTGCTCAAGGTCACCCAGTGGGTTGCCATGGTTGAGCAGGAATTCATATCTTTGTCTCTCCGTCCTAGTCCAACACTCAAATCATTACACCATATTCATATCTTTGTCTCTCCGTCCTAGTCCAACACTCAAATCATTACACCATACTGGCTCTCCTTATGAGTCGTTGTTGTTGCTAGCTGCGTTCAAGTTGATCTATATTAATGGCAGCTCTCTGAATGAGATGTCTCCAAGCCCTGCTATCTTCTACCTCCCTGCTTAGGTCCTGCATACTCAAGCCCATGGTCTCCCTGACTGAGTCTATCCATCTGGCATGGGATCTTCCTTCCCCAGCATCACTGTCTTTTCCAAAGAGTCTTGCCTTCTCATGATGTGGCCAAAGGACAACAACCTCAACTTTAACATCTTGGCTTCCAGGGAGAGTTCAGGCTCAATTTGTTCTAGGACAAATGTT